CTGGGCTACCAAGTGAGTTCCAGGAAAAGGCGCAAAGCTACACAGAGAAACCCTGTCTCGAAAAACCAAAAAAAAAAAAACAAAAAAAAAAAACAAAAAAAAAACAAAACTCACATTAATGTGTTTGTACCACAGAAAAGAAATGAGAATGACAACTGATCACCCCATTATTATTAATATTGGAATAATATTAATATTATTAATGTTAATATTATTTGACTCTATATCAGGTGCAGAAACTGAGACGTCTGGTCCAAAATCACATAGCAGTAAATATAGAGATAGAATTTAAACATGGCTGTCCTACTCTGCCAATTCATAACAACACAAGAAAACAAAACCTAACCAAGAACCAAGAATTTGGACAAATGTCACTCATTTTCCCTAAGGCTCAGCTTGGAAACACAGGGTTCAATCACCTACTTCCAAGTGGAACACTAAATAGACCTAGAAAACAGAATGTGATTTATTTCCTTTGAGAGTTTTGGCAGAGTTCACTCCCTAGTGTTTCCCATGAGGCTCAGGGAGGTTAATGACTTGTTTAAAGTCACACAGCTAAGTAAGCACCAATCAGAAATGTAACCTACTATTCTCAGTCCATGTCAAGGGTGCAGTCCTCAGCCTCACAACCTCCTTATGCCCTGGGGCTTTTCACATCATAGCAGGAAACAAAATCAGAGACCACCACACCCCCATGCTTGCTCTGCTTGGACATTTATGCCTTCGTCACTTTTCCTGAGGGAAACAATTTAAAGAGGAAGGGCCTTATTTTGACTCATGGTCAAGGAAGTTCTGTTGGTAGCTTGTCTCATTGCATCTTCAGGCAAGAAGCAGAGAGAGCTAAATGTTTATGCTCAGCTTGCTTTCTCCATTAGAAGCAGTCCAGGACCCAAGACCAGGGAATTGATCCTTCTACTTTTAGGGTGGTTCTCCCCACCTCAAATGAACCTAATCAAAGCCATGGGCTAACCTAATCAAGATGTGTGTACCACGGCTTGTTTCCTAGGAGATTCCAAATCCTATCAAGTTGACAGTATCAACCATCACAGACCAGTACCAATTATCTGAATCTAGGAAGGTGGGTATTTTGGGAAGCGCACTGTTTCTTCCCTTCACAAGACCCAAACCAACAATATCAAAGATTCCATCAACGAAGAGGTCAGGAGAGTCTCCACAAATTCATGGGTAAGAAGGACAAATCTCCTTGAAGGCAAAAACTATGTTGTATTGTATTTATATCCTCGATAGCTAATGTAATACTTCAAAACCCAATAAATGTCTACTAGATAGAAGCATATCTGAATGAGTAAGTTGAAGTATTCTCCATTTTCCCATCAAGAACTAGTCAAGGTAATTCCCAAAGGAGGCCAAGGAAAGACCAGTCTCCCATGAAAGGGCTCTAGCAGGCCCAAGCATGGCAAACACAGGCCCAAGCATGGCAAACATGTCTCTTACCCTTCTCCCCTTTTTTTCTGCCTTGCTAAAAACTGTTAGACTATGTCTTAGTTGGGGTTTCTATTGCTGTGAAGAGACACCATGACCATGGCAACTCTTATAAACGAAAACATTTAATTGGGACTTGCTTACAGTTGAGAGGTTCAGTCCATTATCATCATGGTGGGACATGGCAATGTGCAGGCAGACATGGTGCTAGAGAGGGAGCTGAGAGTTCTACATATTGTGCAGGCAACAGGAAGTGGTCTGTCTCGCTAGGTGTAGCTTGAGCATAGGAGACTTCAGAGCCCACCCCCACAGTGACACACTTCTTCCAACAAGGTCACACCTACTCCAATAAGGTCACACCTCCCATTAGTGCCACTCCCTGTGATGATTTTCTTTCAAACCACAAACTACATTCTTAAAGCTGGCCCCCAAGGTCTATTCCCTTATTTGGCCACTTCCTGCTCCTGAGGTTGACCACCAAGATCCAGCTATCAAAGTATTGAAGTCCAGAAATCAAAAGCCCCTTTTTGGCTACCTTAATTAACATGCCCAATCAAAACAAATCAACTCATCCTAACACAGGGTTTCCCCTTTACCTTTAATACACTGCCATTTGCCTATGGGCCACATCTGTCTCCTCTCTATCCAGAGGCGGTCCTTTGTCCCTTGGGGAAATATCTCTTCCCTCTCCCTTGTTCCTCTCCCCTTCTCCCTCATCCTCTAGCTCCTGTCTTTGTCCCTTATCTCTGCCCTCTGTCCCTCTGAAGCAAATGAATCTCCTTTGTGCTGGAAACTTGGTCTTGGGTTGTCTCTGTGCCAATATTGATCCTTTCATCTCCTATTTCCCTATTGGCTGTTTTCATTTCATTTTTTTTTTTATTTTTTATAAAGTTTCATAGAATCTATTAATTAATGCAATTTATAACTGACATCATCTGAAGTAACTTCCACATTAAACTCTTTCATGGAATCATTCTTCTTTTCTCTAGGCACTAAAATGTACAGTCTTCTGAGAATTAATATTATACTATTTATGCAACATATAAAAAAACATTTCCATTATTTAGGCCCCTGAGCCACCTCATCCATTGCAAATGTTGAGCCTATAGTCTAGACACATTTACTGTACCATAACCCCCACAAGACATACCTATAATGTATAAAATGGAATGTGCACTTTAAAGAAACAAAATGTGCTATTTTCTATTTATACAGGGTATTTACCGTTTTGATGCTCTTCACTCTTCCATATGGTAGCATCTCCTGTGAAGCTAACAAATTTTCTAACATCTGTTGTAGCGTGGGTGTGTTGGCATTCCATTTATACCTGAGATGAATGAATTTAAAAAGGGGAAAGGTTTGTCTTGGCTCCTGGGTTCAGAGATATCATTCCGTGGTAGCATGGCCCCATTGCTTTGGGCCTGAGATGGCACTGTGTGTCACGGCAGGTGGGCACATTGGAGGGCATCTAGTTGTCCCATGGTAGCAGAAGAGCAAAGGCAGACGCAAGGATGACTCAATAGACGCCCCCAAAGGCACACACACCCCCATGACCTCATTTCCTCCCACTAGGCCTCACATCTCAGTGGTTCTAGGTCCTCCCAGGACTCCAAAGCTGGAGGCCAAGACTTCATCAGATGGGGACTTTCAGGTCTGCTGAGTACAAACAGTCTTGCTTAAACTAGAAGGGTCCCTGTGCTGCCTTTGTTGTTAAGCCATATGCACACAGGATATAATCAGGGCAGACTGGTCTCTTTTGTTTTCTTATGCACATCATACATTTGGAGATGGGTTTCCATCATTGTGTGGTGTCTAGTGGCTTATTGGTCTACAAGTAATATGCCCTTTCAAGATTTTCAAGATTTCTCTCCATTTTTTTTTTCAAGGTCTGTGAACAGTTGGGCTATGAGGCTCCACCACACAATTTTCTACATATATACCTTGCTTTGGATTTACTAAGATTCTTAAATGTGTAAACTCAAGCCATTTATCAAATTTGGGAAATCTGCGAAGACTCATTCCTACTTGTCATTTTCCAATTTTTATCTTTATGTTCATATGACTTTGTCATTTTTACAGTATACTTTTGCTCATTAGTCCTTTTTTTCTGATCCACTTCTACAACACTAAGCATGTGTTAGACATTTTGACTTTGTCTCACAGTGTCTGCTCATCTGCTCGTTAGTTTGTTTGTTCTTTTCTATTCTGAGACCTAGAGATGTGTTTCACCTTGCTCTGTAGCATCACTGAATCTGCCTATGTCATATCCATCCTTCTTAAGCAGGTTCTGCATTTTCACTTCCCAAAACTCTGCTTTGCAGTTCTGTTTAGTGTATTGTGTGTCCGCTATGATTTCATATTTTCTTTGTTTCCTTGAATCATGCTTTCTCTTATCGTAGTGAGCATATATATTTGGTATTTGGACTAAATAGTCAGTCTTTGTGGACTGTATTTTCTCGGCATCCATCTTGTTCTGGGATTATATTCTAGACATTGTGAGTATCATGAGTATCAGAGTTCCTCTGAACTCTGTTCTGCTCTCTGAAGATTATAGAACCATTGTTGTCTCAATAGCAGATGAGCTGAATGGACTCCGATGACAAACCATCTCACGGGAGGCCCTCTAAATCTCAGTCCAGTTCTTCTATCTTTAGCTGAGCGTCTTGGATGCTGCCCCACACGCACTTGATCCTGAAATCAGCCAGAGATTTGAACAGGGTTTATATTTAGCAACTGTAGGTGCCCAAACCTCTGTCATCTGCTTCTTCAAGGCAGAGGTACCACAGGCTTCCTGTGGGAATTTGAGCTAGCTCCCCCGTGTGATGCTAACTTCAGATGTGGTTATAATAACCAAGAAAGTCATCCAATACTCTTCCTTTTATCTAAAGAAACTTTCAAAATTTTATTCACTTTCCAGTTCCTGCAAGTACTTGGATTTTTAGATTTCATATAGAGCTTATGGTTACTGTTTATGAAGGGTTGGTGTGAGATGAGCCTACTTCTCCATACTGAAGGAGGACTCGCTGCCTCTCAATTACTTGTCCTACAGTATATTACGAAAGTTGCTGCTCTATTCACAATAGCCAGGAAATGGAAGCAGCTTAAATGTCCATCAGTGGATAAGTGAATAACTAAAATATGGCATATTTACACAAAAGAATATAATTCAGCTGTTAAGAAAAATGAAATTGTAAGATTCACAGTTAAATGGATAGAAAAATCATACTGAGTGAGATAATCCAAAGCCAGAAAGACAAACCTCACATGTTTTTATTGTATTTGTGGGTGTTAGCTTTTAATCTTTAGATAAGTGTGCCTCATTTGGAATAACCACAGAGGTCAGAAAAATGTGTAAGACACCATGGAGAGGGGGCCCTTCAAGGGAGGGAAGACAGAACACAGTGATGTAAAGGTGGAAAGCAGAGTAATGGAACAGGAAGGGTTAAACCGGGTGGGGGGGCGCAGGATAAAGGAGGGAATCTAGGGACGGGAAACTAGGTCTGAAAAGGTCATGAAAGACTACTACAGAAGCTTTCTAAAATATGAACACATTAGAGCTTAAGGCATACAGACCTTAAATGGAGCGACCCTACAACAGAGCAACCATCCCCCTACTAAACACCATAGGCTAACAGCTAAAAGGCCCAGTGCCAGGGATGGGTTACCCCTATTGGAGTTGTTGGCCAGTGACCCCCCCCCCATATTGCTGGAGATTGCCATTGTTCTTTTACCCTTCAGAACCTGACCGTAAGAGCATGTTGCTGAAGACGTCACATACTTGAGTCATTCAACATGGTACTGACCTGGAAGCGTCAGGCCACTGGCTAGCTTTCATAGTGCCGGAAGGTGTTAGGCAAGTTCATAGATAAGAAAAGTAACTGCCAGTCTTATACAGGCGTCAAGCATTTTTTATCCTTAGTCCTTAGACAAAAACATACCAGAAAATGTATTGATCTTCATTATCTCACTTGTTTATCACTCATTGACTACCTTGCCTCCTCTAACCTGACTTTCCCCCACCAGACTGTTCATATTCTTTTATTTAAGGTATATAAATCAATAGAAAAAATTAAAATTGTAAAAAAGAATCTTATTCAGCTGTGAACTCTACGGATTATAAGAATAATCTTCCTAGCCGTGTGGTGGTGGCGCGCACCTTTAATCCCAGCACTTGGGAGGCAGAGCCAGGTGGATCTCTGTGAGTTCAAGGCCAGGCTGGTCTACAGAGTGAGATCCAGGACAGACACCAAAACTACATGAGGAAACCCTATCTCCAAAAAAAAAAAAATCTTCCTAGCAAAATATGGTCATTGATGTAATAGTAGCAACCGATGGCATGAAAGTCACTAACCACTCTCTAATTGAATTTGAGGCCTAGTCCAAAAACTGGAACCCATACCTGGCACAATTACAGAGCCAAGAACTTATAGCTAGATAGGTTATAGGCCCTAAGGGAGAACCTATAGCTAGTCCTCTGCTAATGAGACATAGTACTAAACTACCTCCCAATGACTTCTCATTATACCCATAGACTAGTGTGCCTCTCATCAGGGAAGCTTCTTTGGGTGGTGATTAACACAGAGACCCACAACTGGTTGAGGTATGTCAAGGACAGGAGTGCTCACTCTTAAATGGGATGTGCATATCACACACCCCTGCACCCAACGCTCAGGGATCAGGGCCAAAGAGGAAGCAAGAAGGCTGCCACAGTCAGAGGCAGCGGACGACTCTAAGGCAACAGTGTTTTCTGAGCACGGCACGGCAGTTATGAACTCACAGAATTGTGACGGCAGCGTGTGAAAGCTCAAGCCACACAGAATCCCAGCATGGTGGTGGAAAGCGAGCGTGAAAGACCGCCTGTAGCTGAGGAGCTATTGATAACTGAAAGCTGCCCGGAAAGTGAGCATTAGCTTTCTCTAAGGGTGTGGTCCTTGGTACATCTAACATGCTCCAGTGGGTGGCCATACACCCAAGAGTATATAGGAAGTTCTAATGGAGTTTATGGGTGTGTGTGTGTGTGTGTGTGTGTGTGTGTGTGTGTGTGTGATTAAAATACACAGTTGAAAGAGTACAAAGTGGGGAATGGATCTGGAAGGAGATCGAAGAAGAGATAAATGCAATCAAAAGATAATTTATGAAATTCTCAAAATATTTAATGTAAAAAACCTTTTAGAGCTTTTAGAAGCAAGATGGTGTGCTTGTGACGGGAGTGTGAGAGGAGAGCATTCAGTTTGAAATGCAGATGACAGCAGACCTTTAATGTGTATCAACTGCAACATCTTTGACATGTCAACAGGCATTTATTGATTTTCCACTACATGTCAACCAGGGAATTTCCAAACAGGACTCCTGATGGGTATCCCATGTCAAAACTCTCCCGATACTAATTAATGGGAATAAATAAACCACTCTCGACATAATTAACAATAATATCTACAGTTCTGTGTGCTGAACACGTGCTACGTGCTCTGATTCTAATCCTCACAACAAATCAACATTTCTCTCACCTCTACTTCACACACCCCATGTCAGGAAGTAGAAAATAATCAGAGTCATACAGGCTTGAGTTTGTCTTGACATTGACAGACCCTAGGTAAATAATACCACCAAAGACAAATTACTTACTGTCTATGAGCCTCAGTTAACTTACCTATAACACTGGGCGTTCAAAATGACAGTACTGATAAGAAATAAAAAACACCTGCTAGAGAACCCTGCTCATACTGGCTATTACTAATTTTACAGATAAGAAAAATCTTGTGATTGTAATGTTTAGATAACTTGGTAGATAACTTAGGAAGTTATTTTATCATCTAACAGGCAGGGCTGGGTTTCAAATCTGAATCTAGCTAAGTATTTTCTTCACAGCTGACTGCATTCTCTTCATAGTCATCACCAATTATTGAACACCTATTGTGTCCAAGCAATACACTAGGGTTTTGTATAACAGGAGTCAACCCAGAAACTAACCAAATATTAATAAGGCGAGATCTGGAGGCTGCGGAGGCTCATTTGGAAAAAGAGCTTGCCATGCAAACATTCAGACCTGAGTTCACTTCCTTCGGAGTCACATTAAAAAGCCAGATTTGATGGCACACATTTGTAATTGTTTGTAATGACAACTAGCCAGGTGCAGACCAGTAGATCCTAGGGGGAATCACTAACCAACCAGCCTAGACTAGTTAACAAGCTCCAGGCCAATGACAAATGCTGTCTCAAAAATCAAGGGTGACAGCTCCTGAGTAATGATACTCAAGGTTGTTCTCTGACCTACACACACACACACACACACACACACACACACACACACACACGCGCGCACAGGCA